ATATATATATATATATTAGCTAAAATTAGTAGCTCCTTTAATCTATATTTTTTTCTCGATAGTCTACAGAACAAACCATCATTATACAATAACTTGCCTAATTACCCTAACCTGCCTAGTTAAAGTAATTAACCTAGTTAAGCCTTTAAATGTCACTTTAAGCTGTAGAGAAGTGTCTTGAAAAATATCTTAATATTCAAATATTATTTACTGTCATCAGGGCAAAGATAAAATAAACCAGTTATTAGAGATGAGTTATTAAAACTATAATGTTTAAAAATGTGTTGAAAAAATCTGCTTTCTGATAAACAGAATTTCGGGAAAAAAATAAACAGGGGCTAATAATTCTGACTTCAACTGTATATGTGGTTTGTATTGATTTTGTCTGTCTTTTGTACTATTGGACTTATTGTCTGGAATAAAGAGAATAATTACATATATTTTTTATGCCAAGAACCATTTGAATATTAAATAAAGATCATGTTCCATGAAGATGTTTTGTTTCCTATACAGTAAATATATGCAAACTTAATTTTTTATAACTTATTCTCAATATTAAAAAAAAAAACTCTCAGATTTTTAAATAGTTTTATTCGTACATTCATTCATTCATTCATTCAATCATTTTCCTTCAGCATAGTCCCTATATTCATAAGGGGGAATGAACCGCCAACTTATCTAGCATATGTTTTACACAGCGAATGCCCTTCCAGCTGCAACCCAGTACTGGGAAACATCTATACACACTCATTCACACACATACACTCCAGCCTTCCAGCCGTAACCCAGTACTGGGAAACATCTCATTCACACACATACATTCCAGCCAATTTAGATAATTCAAGTCACCTATACCTCATGTCTTTGGACTGTGGGGGAAACCGGAGCACCCAAAGGAAACCCACGCCAACACGGGGAGATAATGCAAACTTGACAGAGAAATGCCAACTGTCCCAGCTGTGACTTGAACTAGCGACCTTCTTGCTGTGAGGCAACAGTGCTAACTGAGCTACTGTGTCGACCCTAAATAGTTGTATCTCAGCAACATATGCTAACAAAATATGTATAGTTGCATTTATCATTAGTTACCAGCAGGTGGCAACAGATAATAATTGTTATTTCTTTCCCCAATTTCTATTTAACGGAGAGATTTTTCAGCACATTTCTAAACAATAGTTTTAATAAGTCATCTCTAGTAACTGATTTATTTTATCTTTGCCATGATGACAGTAAATAATATTTGACTAGATATTTTTCAAGACACTTCTATACAGCTTAAAGTGACATTTAAAGGCTTAACTAGGTTAATTAGGTTAACTAGGCAGGTTAGGGGAATTAGGCAAGTTATTGTATAAAGATGGTTTGTTCTCTATTGAGAAAAAATATATAGCTTAAAGGGGCTAATAATTTTGACCTTAAAAATGATTCATAAAAAATAAAAACTGCTTTTATTCTAGCCATAAACAAATCAGACTTGATTTGATACATAATTAGGGAAATATTTATTAAATAAATAATTCTGACTTCATTTTTTACAGTCTATGCTTTGTATACAATAAAAACACCTTTGAATTTTGAAAATTGATCGTTGGAATTATATTAATATTCGGTCATTGCGTTGTATTGTTTTTTAAAAGACGAAATACAAATAAAGAAATAAATAATCCTTCTTTTGCTTATTGTTTCCTCTGATGGATTCAGCTAGAAAAAAAATCGAGCAAATGAACTGGGTGAACTATCACTTTAACTTAAAAATAAATTATATTGTGGTTTCTAAAAATGAATAAAAACATATTTTTGTTATTTTATGCAACAAAAAACAAATCCTTAAATCACAATATATTGAACTGAAGTGTGCATGACCTGTATAACCTGCGGTTTACAGAATAAAAAATAAAAATAGCTGCGCTGGTAAAGTTTAAGGGCCCTATCATACACCCGGCGCAGTGTGGCGCAAGCCGTGGAGCAGTAGTCTTTTGGTAGTTTCAGCTTGGTGCAAGAGTCGTTTTGAGGCGTTGCGCTACACTGTTTAAATAGCAAATGCATTAGCGCTCATTTGTGCGCCCATAGGCGTTCTGGTCTAAAAAGGAAGGCGTTCTGAGGCGGACCGCTGGCGCGTTGCTATTTTGAGAAACTATAATAGATTTTTCATTAGACCAAAACTAACCCAAGCACTGCTTAATACCCACAAAAGAGCAATAGGCAAATATCTTTACATATGAAAAAAATAAATATAAAGGATATATATAGAATTTAATAAGAATAGATATAGAATATAAATATAAAGGATTAAAATATTACAAACCATACTATTTTCTAGCCTACATAAATATGGAAAATCACTGCTTTTATGTCTTCTTCATCTCGGGAGGCTTTTTCAGTTCATTCATAACAATTTGCTTTTCTATAATGTTATTATTATTAGCAGTATTATTTATTATATCCACATTTATATTTGTTTTATTAAAAACAAGCTTAGATTTGCCCACCTGTCAGGTTTTAGACCATATGGGGCACAGCATGTGTTTTAGGTTATAACTCAGTTTTTTGAGCACATTTTGTTATTATTATTCATTAATTTGTTTGCTGGAAATTAGAACTGAATTTAGAAATAGTTCTGAAACGAATATTTGCGCTTAACAAATGAAATTATTTATTTATAGACTAATTGATGTCTGTGTGTAAAGGTTTCTCTATCCAAGAGCGAATGTGAAAGTAGTTCCATTATCTCTCATTCTCATGCAGTAGATGCTCTGTTTAACAGTTTTCTGTTAAAAAACTGTCAACTGTTTGCTTGTGAAATGCTAATTTTTTCCACTTAGACTTTGCTGTAAATAGCGAATGCGCTCTTGGCGTGATGCAGCTGGCTCTTAAAGGTGATGGGAGATGAGACTCTAATTGGTTTATTCTCAAAACCTATAACTCATTAAGAAAATAAACTCAACCCTTTCAGACCATGCACCAAAGCGCAAGGCAGATTTCCCGTCCTTAAATTAGCAAAAACGCATCCTGACACGCCCTGAAAGCGTTTGCACCCTGCGTTTTGCGCTCTGCGCATGGACCTTCAAAATAGAGCCCTAAGCATCAGTTTGTGTAGGGTACAAAGGGTAAAAAACTCACCCTCATGTCGATACAAACAAGTATTACTTCTTCTGGAGTTTTACCTGTTAAAGAAATTACAGTTTTAGATATTACAACTGTTGTTTAATTATTATTATAACGAATTAGCATATTTAAACAAGATCATTCAATGTTTGTTCAGTTTAACTTTCCTTTTCTCAAAGTTCCACCCCTCTAGATAAACTATAAAGCGAGCGGTGAAACAGACAGGTAAAATTATTCACTTCTAGACTAAAGATGGATCCGCAAATCTCCATTTTCCTTCTGTTTGTTGTTTTCGCCGCAGGTACTAATAGTGTTTATAATGTTACTGAATACACAGATATGAGTCTGCAGATCACTGATCTCTCTCTGTTTCATCACTACAGGACACTCTCTCAGCTGTTCTGAGTGCAGCAGTTACAATGGCCCGTGTACAAACCTTACATTAACAACATGTCCCAGTGGAACTAACCAATGCCAGACTGGAACAGAGACACACACTGGTGAGTCTGATTGATTGAAATGTGTTTATTTTAGTGCAATGTAAAAAAAGTGATTAGGTAATTCATGTGATTAAGTAATTAAACAAGTTGCCTTAAAAGCAACAAGTTGAATTTACTTTGAAAAAAGCCAGTAAACCCATTGACTTAACTTTATTAATATGTGCAGTTTGTTTACAATGTAAAAACAATACAAGGTTGCACACAATTCATGTTGTCCCAACACAAATCCACTAAGTTAATGTAAGTAAATTAAGTAGATTGCACATTAAACAATTAGGTTTTCCCCAAAAATCTCCATAATTGTTTTGTTTCTGCTCATTTTAAATAAGTCGTTTAAACTAACTTCAAAAATCATTTAGAGTGTACTTAAGGCAATGAGTTTGCTCTCCCTCTTTCTCTCTCTTTCTCTCTCTCTCGCTTTCTTTTTAGCTCTTTCAATGTTATTTTCTGATTGATGGTGCTGAAACTGTGAAAATGTTTTTTTTTTCTGACAGACTTTCCAAACTTAGTCTTAGAATTGCCTAAAGATTTCTGCTACTTATTTACTTATCTGACTTATTTTTGACAGGTGTGAGATGATACATTATCAGAAAGAACACTTGCTTTTTAACGGAACGGTTCGACCACATTGTAAAAACTTAACTGATTAATTAGTCCTGACAGCATATGTTTTTAGTTCTTTGTAACTTATTAAACTATGTTAATCACGTTCTAACCTAATTGCATAAGTTACGCACGCTGTTTTAAGTCAGTTCAACATAATATAAGTTCAATAGACTCATAGGGTTAATTTGATTCAGCTTAAAAATTTTAGGCAACCAGGATTTCTTTTACAGTGCACTAATAAAAAATGTATTTACTCACCCTCAAGTGGATTCAAACCTCCATGAGTTTCTCTATTCTGTTGAACACTAAAGAAAATATTGTGAAGAAAGATTACCATTGACTTTTATAGGTAAAAATACCATGCAAGTCAATCGATTGAAGTTTCCACTTTTCTACAAAATATTTATTCTATTTAATGTTTTTCTATTATTTTCAGTTCTATTTTATAATGTTCTGTTCTGTTCTATTCTATTGTGTCTATTATTTTAGGTTCTGTTCTGTTTGTTTTATTCTATTATTTTCTATTCTATTCTGTTCTATTCTATTATATACTGTTCTATTCTAGTCTATTCTATTTTGTTTGTTCTATTCTGTTGTTCTGTTGTAATCTATTCTATTCTGTTCTGTTTCATTATGTTTTATTCTATTCTGTTTGTTCTATTCTGATCTAATCTATTGTATTATGTTTGTTCTATTCTATTGTTCTCTTCTTCTTTGCTCTGTTATGTTTTATTCTAGTCTGTTCCTTTCTATTCTATTCTATTTTATTCTGCTCTGTTATTTTTTATTGTAGTCTGTTCTTTTCTATTCTATTTTATTCTGTTCTGATCTGTTTTATTCTATTCTATTTTGTTCTGTTCTGCTTTATTCTATTCTGTTCTTTTCTATTCTGTTTTATTCTATTCTATTTTGTTTTGTTCTGTTCTGTTCTGCTCTGCTCTGCTCTGCTCTGTTCAGTTCTATTCTATTCTATTCTATTCTATTCTATTCTATTCTATTCTATTCTATTCTACAGCAGAAAGAAAAAAGTCCAAAAGTTTAAAATAAGTAAAGGGTGAGTACTGTAAATATTGACAGAGCTTTCATATTTGGGTGAATTATCCCTGTACTCTCCCAGCTTTTTTTCTACTTCGAATTTTCTATTAAACCAGTACGACGGAGACATTTTTTGGAAAGAAATGAAATGGAAGATAGACCAGATACTTTATGTTAATCTTTCACTGTCTCCTTATGTATACCCGATTAAAAGACTGAATGTATACATCGTTGACAATTTTTGTAAATTACATGATATTTAACTAATGTGAACTGCATTTTACTGTGGGAAAATGAGGTGGTATGTTACTGGAATTTAAAGTTGCTTTGGGAAAATTATTGTAATTTTTACGGTAAACTGTACATATAATTCTGTAAATACATCTACAGAATGATAAATGGTGCTGTAAAACAGTTCTTTTGATGAAATTGATTTTCTGTAAGTTACGGGCGGTTACATGCAAAGTCAGAATTATTAGCCCCTCTTTGAATTTTTCTTTCTTTTCAAAATATTTCCCAAATGATGTTTAACAGAGCAAGAAAAGTTTCACAGTATGTCTGATAATATTTTTGTCTTCTGGAAAATGTCTTAATTGTTTTATTTCAGCTAGAATAAAAGCAGTTTTTAATTTTTTAAAAGCCATTTTAAGGACAAAATTATTAGCCCCTTTAAGCTATACATATATATAAATAAATAAATATATATATTTATATATATATATTTTATAGTCTACAGAACAAACAATCTTTATGTAATAACTAGCCTAATCACCTTAACCTGCCTAGTTAACCTAATTAACCTAGTTAAGCCTTTAAATGTCACTTTAAGCTGTATAGAAGTGTCTTGAAAAATATCTAGCCAAATATTATTTACTGTCATCAAGGCAAAGATAAAATAAATCAGTTATTAGAGATGAGTTATTAAAACTGTTATGTTTAGAAATGTGTTGAAAAAATCAGCTCTCCGTTAAACAGAAATTGGGGAAAAAATAAACAGGGGGGCAGTTCAACTGTATGTATTCTTCAAGCTAAACTGATAGTTTCTTTAAATTGGAAAAACGTGTGTGCACAGCCTGATCTCACGAGAAAACGTAAGTATTTTACGTTTTGCCAGTTTAGTGGCTAATTTGTACGAATTTGTGCGAGTTCAGTCATGCGAAATTGTATGATTTTAATAAGGAGGCGTGGCACCTAACCCCACCCCTAAACCCAACCGTCATTGGGGGATGAGCAAGTTGTACTAAACTGTATGAATTAGATCGTACAAATTCATACGAAATAGCCACTAAATCAAAAAGTTACGAATTGCCGTGAGATTGTGTTGGTGTACACCAAGTATAGGATGTTGGCTGAAAGACACGCTTACAAACACGACAATGGAAAAGATAACCTATATATTACAGGATAAATAGGTCTTCAAATTGTTCCTTTATTGTGAAGGAGTTGAAAATGTATTGATTGAAGAATAATAAAAGTGGTCATATCTATGTAAAATCATGGTAAAAGCACAGTGGCTCAGTTGTTAGCGGTGTCACCTTACAATAAGAATGTCGCTGGTTCGAGTCTCGGCCGGACCAGTTGGCATTTCTGTGTAGTTTGCATGTTCTCCTCGTGTTGGTGTGGGTTTTCTCTGGGTGCTCCGTGTGTCCCCCACCGTCCAAGACATGGACTATAGGTGAACTAAATAAACTAAATTGGCTGTTTTTTATGAGTGTGAATGAGTGTGTATGGGTGTTTCCTAGTACTGGGTTGCGGCTGGAAAGACATATGCTGGAATAGTTGGCGGTTCATTGTGCTGTGGCGACCTCTGAAATAGAAACTGAGCCTAAAGAAAATGAATTAATGAATTATCTAAGTGTCCATCGAAATAAGAAATTGAACTGAATTTCCCTGTATCATTTGGGTATGTTTTAGGTGCAACGATTCCTGATTGGAGTTTTAAAAATTGTACTGCCGGCTGTCACAATCGATCCATGAACTTCGGCACTGGGAAGTCAGCTTATTCCTGCTGCGACTCTGACTACTGTAACACCCAAGGTACTGTAACACTCCTGATACTCTACTCACTATATTAAAGCCTCACTTCGCCGACCCTTCCTTGTACTGTTGCCTCACTTTACCACCGCTCGCCATGTCAAAGTGTGGAATGATGGTCAAGCGCCCCCTAACTTTAGAACATAGGGATAGGATAGTTACTCGCGGGGAGGAGTTTCCTCATCTCAGCTCATGGATTTAGAGGCACACACAGTCCATTCGGGGAGATATAAAACGCACACAAATTATTTAAACGCAAAACCGAGAAAACTGCAATTCACAAGCGCGTATTGAACCGTGGAGGTCGTACCGTATGGTTCAATATTATATTGAGAACCGTGGCATCCCTAATATATATATATTAGGGATGTAACGGTATCAGAATTTCACGGTACGGTAATACCTCGGTATGAATGTCACGGTACGGTATTTATTGAATCATTTACAGGAAAAAACAAAACTTATGAAAATACTCCAAAAAAGTGCCAAAAGTGTCAATGACATACAAATTAGCCATCTATCTGTAAGCTTTGAAATAGGAACTTCAATTTTAATAACAAAAAATTATTAAACCATGTAAAAAAATAAAGTTTAAATTTAGTATTGTTGAAAACTCATCACATTCAACATTTAATCACACTCAGCCCATCTACACAGATGAGAGCTCTGCTAGTCGGACTTCTCATCAAGCATCTCCCGCTGGATCTAATCTCACTATATTTATTAAACGGGATATTTCATTTATCTTGTCTTTATCTAACGACATATTCCCTGACTTTGGGCATTGGAATCTATTACTTGTTCTCAGGTAACGTGTTTTGGCAGAGCGCAAAGATAAGTTAATGATTAATGTAAGCACGTACATTCTGTATATTGACTGATCGCTTGCCTTTATTTCCTATAATGTATAAACTTATTGTATGTTATACTTTTAAAATGGCCATTATCGATTCTTAAAACTGATACTCAGCAAAAGAGAGGCTGTGTTTCGTATTTTCACTGAAATTGAAAGGAGGCAGTTGTTATCGGCTCCGTTTTGTTATAAATATCCACACAGTGAAGATGACGCTCATCTTATGCAGCACGACGCCTCAACATGTCTGCTGTCTAAGTTGCTAATATTAAAATGAAAATAGGCAGTTCCTTAAATCATGTTTACATTTTATTGTTGAGAAAGTGAAACAACGAAGCCAGGGTGATGTGAATGAAGTTATAAAGTACACTGTTCCCTTTGAAGATTTACCCGTGTCCTCGGTATAATCTGCTTTTCCATATCAAACTGAGAAGAAGAGACAGCAGCCTTGATCAAACTTGCGAAGTCTGAACTTACACGGAGATTATGCAGGACTGAACTGTGCGTGTTAGGCTACTTAATATTCAGGAAAAGCCCCAATCAGAGAGGCGAATGTCTGCAGCCCCGCCTCCGTTTTCAGATGTACATGACAGTTTATAAGTATCACACACCAGACGCGCACATTCGAATGATATTTAACATGAAACTAATCAGATGGCGCTCTGTGGCGCGGCTGAAAAATGAACTGCGTCCTGAGCCGTCGCCGGGCGCCGCCGACAGCCGCCGACTTGCGGCGCCGGTGTGTGTATCCTGATAGAAACCTATGTTTAGAATTCTAAAATACATGGCGCTCGCCGCTTCTGGTGTGCGACCTGCTTTAGAGTTTTCCAGCTCTTTTCATCCCCGCTTCTAGCAGCACACTCCATTTCCGCATTACTGGATCTGTAGCGACAACAGACCGCAAGGGATGATGGTCAAGCATGGGCTGATGGCAATTGTAGTTTTCGCTATCTCCCGTTCGCTTCATTCGCCTGAGCAAATTTTCTCAGAGGACCTATAGTTTTACCGAGTCATGCGACTTCGGTAATATCGAAAAAAATTAATATTGCGGTATGACGGTATTTACAATACCGTTACATCCCTAATATATATATATATATATATATATATATATATAAAGAAAGTAATATTTTTAAAAAATATTTAAATCCTTTAATTCTTTGTTTTGTTTGTAAAAATACTTGTTTATTGTTGTACATCCTGCGTGTTTTAAGCAATGTGTAAGCGAGGCGCACAACTGAAGTGCTCTGCACTGGACTTTAGCCCTGCTTTCAGCTGGTCTACTGAGCAGTCTATTTTAGCTAATCAAAATAGCAATGTGCCAACAATGCACCTTAATACAACTCCTTTTTAGGCCAGAACACACATGAGTCCACAAAGTGGTGCAAATGGATTTACTATTTAATCCACGTGGCGGAAAACTGAAAAATGAATGTTTCGTTGGTCTGATAACAGCAACATGTCATGGAAACACATCTTGCGCCGGGTGTATGATAGGGCCCATAGTGTTTTTTGACCCTGCGTGAATATAGGCCTGTTGCTGGAGACCCCCAAAACAAAAATATGCCCTTTTTAATGCATAATAGGGACTATTTAAATATTATTATCTAAAACCACTGTAACTGATGAAATATATTTGTGCTGCAAAAATAAAGATGCTTGTTTTTCTCCGGTTAGACCCTGGCTTTAACATCCCCAATGGAAAGACATGTTATTATTGTGATGAGAAGGATTGCTCAAAAATACTCAACTGTTTATGGATTGAAGACCGCTGTTTTACAATTGAAGGTGAGAATCCGGAAATACAGTTTAAAAAAAGTTACTTCATGACTATTTTTTAAAGCCCTTGTGAATCTGAAGTTGCTGAGACTTTTTTTTCAGTATGTTGACGTACTTCCAAATTAAATGGAATATTGAGTAGGGGGCGGGGCTTTATTTTTACACTTCATTCCCTTAAAGCAAATTATAAAAGGGCGTGGGTAAAAATATTGCTACTGAAGCTGTCAAACTCCAAACACACAAGCCAATGCTCAAATTCTAAGACTTGATTAAAGATTACCAACACAAACTATTTTTCAGTGCATTAACTTGTTCACCTAAAGAATAACAATGTGAGTCAGCAATATACATTTTAAATTTAGATTTCACATGGACTTTAAATATTCAGTCACATACAGTATACACACATGTGCTGTGTACCATTTGAGAGCTTAGATTAATTCATTTATTTTTACTTTTCCGCAGGGAATTTCAGCCAGCCCTTGCTTCTAAAAGGCTGTATGTCCAAATCTTTTTGTGATAGACCTGTTAATCCTACCACCACATGTTGTGAGGGGAACCTGTGCAATGCTGTCAATGGTGTCCCAAAGAGTTTCACCCAGAGCGTCCCACAGACAGACACCCAGAGTGTTCCACAGACACTGAATATTACTCAGAGCATCACCCAAAGCATCCCACAGACAACGAATAATACGCAGAGCATCACCCAGAGCGTCTCACAGACAATGAAAATTACCCAGAGCGTAACCCAAAGCATCCCACAGACCGTAACCCAAAGCGTCTCACAGAGTGTCTCCCAAAGCGTCCCACAGAAAAACACACAGAGCCTCCCACAGACACTGAATGTTACTCAGAGCATCACACAAAGCATCCCACAGAGCTTAACCCAAAGCGTCCCACAGACTGTCATGCAGAGCATCCCACAGATAGACAGCCAGAACGTCCCAAAGACAGTCACCAAGAGTGTCCCACAAACTGTCACTTACACTGTCCCACAGACAGACACCAAGAGTGTCCCACAGACAGACACTAAGAGTGTTCCACAGACAGTCACTCATACTGTCCCACAGACAGACACCAAGAGCATCTCACAGACAGTCACTCACACGGTCCCACAGACAGACACTAAGAGCGTCCCACAGACAGTCACTGACACGGTCCCACAGACAGACACTAAGAGCGTCCCACAGACAGTCACTGACACGGTCCCACAGACAGACACTAAGAGCGTCCCACAGACAGTCACTGACACGGTCCCACAGACAGACACTAAGAGCGTCCCACAGACAGTCACTGACACGGTCCCACAGACAGACACTAAGAGCGTCCCACAGACAGTCACTGACACGGTCCCACAGACAGACACTAAGAGCGTCCCACAGACAGTCACTGACACGGTCCCACAGACAGACACCAAGAGCGTCCCACAGACAGTCACTCGCACTGTCCCACAGACAGACACCCACAGCGTCCCAGAGACAGACACAAAGAGCGTCCCACAGACAAACACTGAGAGCATCCCACAGACAGACACTCACACCATCCCACAAACAGACATCAAGAGCGTCCTACACACAGACACCAAGAGCATCCCACAAACAGACACCAAGAGCGTCCCACAGTCAGACGCTCAGAATGTCTCACTGAATGTCACCCACATCACCCCGCAAAATGTCACACAAAACGTCACCCAAAGCAAAGCCCAGAGTAGCCACATTACTAACAGTGTTAGCCAGAGTGTGGTGTTCCTCTGTTTTTGTCTGCTCTCCCGAATGCTCATACCCTGAGCTCCAGAAAACTACAACAAACCCCTCATGTATTTGTGCATAGTTATGCAAGTAAAGCTGATCCTGATGCACAGATTTCACATTCAACAAGGTGAGGCCATCTACACAATATATGGCCTTTTATTCTTCTATTTCTCGGTTCTAATGTGATTCAAACACTTTATTTAGCCCAACATTACAGGGTCTTGTTGCTGTTTAATAAATGATGTGAAATTGCAATTAAATCGAACGGTATCTGCTGATGAATTAAACTTCAGTGTTGAAAACAAACTTTGTGTTGTTACTGATGAAATTTGCACATCAAACTAAAACTGCAATTCCAAAACTGTCTGTATGCACGTACATTATATTGTATAACTGCAGGTTGAGTATATGCTCGAGAGCTGTTCTGTCCATCACATGCACAACACATGAACTCTTTCTGATGTGTTGATTGTAATGTAGTAATGTGCACCTTTTGTGAAGTTGCTTTGGAATGATAATTATTGTGAAAAGCACTATACAAATAAACTTGATTAGATATAGTGACATACAGAAATGTGACAACTTGAGACTTGTCATTCTGTAGTCTTGATGAATGCAGGCATTATTTCCAAGTAACAACACTACCCCTAAGCATGGGTTGCCAAACTTTTCAGCCCGCAACCCTCAAAATAACAATGCCAGTGACCTGCGACCCCTACTATCTTCTGAGGGGGTTGTAAATATCCACATTTTGTGCACACAACAATAGACATAGAAATGGACAATAGAAAACAGTCTAACAACCACACTCTAAAAAATATTGTTTAGACTAAACAACAACAAAAAAAATTACGCAACAGTTTGCATCAATATTTTCAAGTTACAACATCATCTAACAAAATGAAGTTCAGACAGTAAACTTTATTATGTTAGCCGAATGGCCTTTTTCTCCTCAATCACTGGCACTTTTACATAGCATAAACTGCATTTTTTAAGTTGAGTACTCAAAAAATTAAGTTGTTTCAACTACTTTTTTAAAATTAAAATTTAAAATCAATCCAGTGTTATGTACTTAATTCCCATAATTATACATGCAAGTTTTCAAGTATAGAGCCTCAAATAAATTAAATACATTTGCTGAAATTGTTAATTGTATGTTTTCAAATTTACTGTTCATTTAGTTGCTTGTAACAAACACATTCAACAACAATATTTTTGTTTTCCAGTATTATTTTTTTGTTTGTTTTAACCCACAGTCTTTCAGTATTTTACAAACTAAAAATGTGTCTCATATAAACGGTATGAAAAATAATAAAAAAAAACATCAGCATGTGGACTTAAAAATACAAAACAACATAAAGAGCACAATCTACTCTGAAATAAGCAGAGACTTCAGAAAATAATGTTCTTGAGATGCATTGCTTTTGCACTGGGCTTCAGTCCATCAAGTTCGAGAAACTTCACAAGTATGTTTAAGTTCCTTGAGGTTGTTCAGATTTAGAGAGTATATTATGCCCATCAGCAGACCACAGAACCTTGACATCTATTCTATAGGATTCTCATGCCCTCAACTATGATGGTTTCCGTCTTGTAGTTCAATTCCAAAATAGACTGATCACCAATAATGGCAAATGTCAATACTTGCCTCCTCATTAAGGTCCTCCTCAAATTCTTGTGTATTCTTGTAAAGCAAGAAAAAAAATGTTTGAGTCAAAAAACACTGCTTACATCAAGTGTATTTACCAGTAGTAGCCAACACTTTCAGATCTTTCAATTTCAGATCTCTTCATAAGACATTCAGGTTAAATAAAATGAAAAGGAAATGCAATACTTGAGATTTGCAGTGTTTGGTATTTCTTTGGTTTGTGAGTTTTGCGACTTTAAAGGCCTGTCGTCATTTAATCTCCCTTCACTTGTTACCAGATCTGTTTGAGTTTCTTTCTTCTGTTGAACAAAAAAGAAGATAATTTGAAGAAAACTAAAAATATACGGTATAAGTAGACTGTTAGGTTGGGGTTAGTGTAAGCTGACATGTATTTGAAGTTTCTTGTAGTCAGTTAAATGTCTTTTGAAGGACTGTTAAATGTCAGTATCAACAGATTTTAAGCAGACTGTCTACTAATGCTCAAATGGACCATCAAAATAAAGTGTTACCGATTATTATCCGTAATTACACAATGCTTTTATTTGCATTATTATTCATTTTCTTGTCAGCTTAGTCCCTTTATTAATCCGGGGTCGCCACAGCGGAATGAACCGCCAACTTATCCAGCAAGTTTTTACACAGCAGATGCCCTTTCCCATCTCTGGGAAACATCCACACACACATTCACACACACACTCATACACTACGGACAATTTAGCCTACCCAATTCACCTGTACCGCATGTCTTTGGACTGTGGGGGAAACCGGAGCACCCGGAGGAAACACACGCGAAGGCCTGATGACTATAATATAATTGATTATTCCATGGGGAGTAAAGACACACATGTACATTGAAGTCAGGCTAGCTAAAAAAGCTAAAGCATAAAAATAAAAGTACCTCAGGTATTCAGTGCTAGTTTTGGCGTGTTTGTAAATGCTGGAGGCAATAATGAAATATTGTTCTTTCCACTACACTCACTGTGATGGCTAAATTCACTGTATATATTATGTTATATAATTTACACAAGCTGGATTTACTGGTCAGATTCACTAGAAATGCAGCACACTGAGGACACACACATATATATATTATATATATATATATTATATATATTTTTACAAAACATTTTTTATATAAAGTTTTCAACATTAGACTCAAAATTAAAACGTTATTTTGTTAGTTTAATTGGTGTCCAACAGTGTGTGGCTTAATTGTAACACGTTTTTACAACTAACCCTGCTGTGTCATGTTTTCCTCTAAACTGGCTCGCAGTCACTGTGTTTAACATCTTTCAAAATGGTGCCATCTTTTAGCCTAGAAGAAGGTGATCACAAAAATATATTAGATTTCGCTAACATACTTTCACAGATTATTTTTAAATAAAAAATATCGACTATAATAAAAATACTTGTATGCAGCAAAAATGGTTTCTCCTGTGTTTCTCATGCAAATTTTGCCGAACCTTTTCAATAATTGACAGGAAGACGTTTGCCAACATTGTGGTGAAAACCTCGGAAGCATCCCATGAGCAAACCCTGAGCAAATACCTTAAAATTCTGTGTTACATTTTACCCCGAGCTACACTGTGCCCCGCGTTCCACTAACCATTGATTTGCATAGAATTTCACCCCCCACTATAGAAGTAAATAGTTACATATTTTCAGCTATCTTACATCCTTTTTAGTCCAAGAGAAGAAAGAAACTCAAAATGGTTTGACAACACTTGAGGGAAATTTATATATGTAGTGAGCAAATTGTCATTTTGGGGTGAACTATCCCTTTAAGGCAGGGGTAGGGAACCAGGCTCGGGAGCCACATGAGGCTCTTTGACCAAACATATGTGGCTCTCCAGTTGTCTCTCTTCAATAATATTTTAAAGTTATAAAAATTACAACTGTCACTATCAGTTTTCTATTGAAAATACAATTAAAGTTCCATTTATATTGTATTTCCTACAGCAAAATTAATAAGAACTCAGTTTAAAATAGGAAGACGTTTCAACCAATGCTGCGCTGTGGTTTAACTTGAATCGCGACACCAATAAAGGTCAAGCAACTTACATTTCTATGGTAACCTCATGCACATAAATTCAAACAACCTTTATGAGAGGCGATGGCGAAAAGAAAATAAACTATAAATGGTATATTCTTTATACATTGTGATGCGTCATATTTGTTTATTTTTAAGTTGTGGATGGACATAAATAAAGGTTTTGTTTATAAATAAATAAAGGTGTTGTCACATACACACACTCCATATACTGTAGCTCTTTAAAAAAGGTTCCTGACCCCTGAAGGAAAGATTCAACAAACATGCAGCCACACAAACACACACACACACACACACACACACACACACACACACACACACACACACACACACACACACACACACACACACACACACACACAAAATAAAACACGGTAGTAAATTTTTTATATTGCTCAAGAAGATTTTTCTTAAATGTGATCCATACGTGATTCGTGATCCATAATTATTTAAATATGAATTTGATTGCTCACTAAGTTTAACAAATCAAAGGTTTAAAATGCTAAAAGACGATATGACTAACCCACATCTGCTAATATTGACATTTAATACATTCAGCAATTAAAGAAACAACCTACTAAATAAACACTGTTAAATACTTAGTAAGTGACACCCTTACTGACACAAACACAGATGCAGTCAATCATGCAATGCACACACATACACACGTCTAACATAAATTAAACATAAATGATATCATGCAACAGTGTGTTCTGCCAAATCATCCGTGTTCATGACATTTTACAAATGTTTCAGATAGTGGCAGTGTCTCTATTCCCTCCATTCAAGTCCATTTAACTAAAATCACCTAAAATACAGCAGCCTAAAGATCTGCAAGTGCAAGTTTATAGTACAGTAAAATGAATGATCCAAGACTATCAGAGATCATTTTAGTTTATTTAGGATTTGATGTCTAATAATGACAGAAGGTGGTGTGCTCAAACACATTCAACTGTTTTTCTTTCTCACCGTAAGGTTATGCAGCTTAAAATAATAAAGCAATTAATACAGCAAGACCTTTTATTTTTAAAACCTATAGATTTTTACCTTCTTTTAGAAGGACGAGAGGCAAAAAATCATGAAAAAGGTGAACATCTGTTCACATTTAGAAATTTAATACAATGAAATATATGAAAATTAAATATATGACGAACAAATACATATTTATTTATGTATTATTTATTTATTGCCAGATTTGCAAGTTATTATGGCTATTTTGTGGCAAAATGGATATACATAAAATATTACATGATAAAAAGAAATTCGTATTACAATAAAAACATTAATTAGACAAATATATAAAATATAAATAAATAAAATTCACAAAAAAAATTATTAAAAAAGTTAAATATGAATTTTCAGTTAAATTTTTAATAAATAATTTAAATATTTTCCTGGTGGTCCCTTTTTAAAAATGTCCATCAAAGTACTCTCCTTATAAAAATTTTGTCTAATGGAATTTAAACTTCTACATTCCAACAAAACATGTTTTTTGGTAAGAGCAGCCTGGCAGTAATTATATTTAGGTGGTTCTTCATTATTTAGTAAATATAAATGTGTCACAAATTCATATTAAGAGTTCACATTAGTAAAACATGTCATACATGCATCGTTCATTCATTCTTCAGCTTAGTCCCTTACTTATCAGGGTCGCCACAGCGGAATGAACCGTCAATTATTCCAGCATATGTTTTATGCAGCGGATACCCTTCCAGCTGCAACCCAGCACTGGGAAACACCCATTCAAACTTACATGCTAATTTAGTTTCTTCAATTTATCTATAGCACATATCTTTGGACTGTGGAGGAAACCAGAGCACTCAGAGGAGACTCACGCAAACACAAGGAGAACATGCAAACTCCACAAAGAAATGTCAACCAGAACTCGAAACAGTGACCTTCTTGCTGCGGGCTGACAGTGCTAACCACTTAGCCACCGTGACGCCCATGTTTATGCAACATATATTTCAAAATATTGCGAAAATTACTGCTTTTATATAAACCGGAGCACCTGGAGGAAACCCACGCCAACACAGAGAGAACGTGCAATCTCCACACAGAAACACCAACTGGCCTAGCCGGAGGGTGAACCAGCAACCTTCTGCTGTGAGGAGACGATGCTAACAACTGAGCCACCAAATTTTAAATAAAATATTATAGCCTTTCCTGAATCATTCATGTTCTTAGTTAAGACTTGTTTTTAAAGCAACCCAGTCTCATTCTGAAAATGTACCTCTGTGTACATTTCTGGAGAGTGCCAAATATGTCCCAGGAGGTACGTTTTTTTGCAGTTTTTATTTTTTCGCAAATTCACTAGAGGTCGCTGTGTACACTTTTTGAGATCTCAAATCTCTCTTGCGAGTGCCATTCGTGCCTGCTGTTCTCGTGTAAATTTACCAGAGGCCGCTGTTGACTGACTGTTTGACTGACTGATCGACTGACCCACCGTCCTCCTTCCCTTAACCCAACCAATAGTGTTTTCAAAAGCACTGATTGACCAGTGCCTACCTAATTCCCTAAACCCAGCCGAAAGTACTTCACAGTTGGGTTGGTGTTCCTAGGCTTCTAAGCTTTCCCCTTTGTCCTCCAAATGTAACACCTGTCATTATGGCCAAACAGTTCAGTCTTAGTTCCATCAGACCACAGGACATGTCTCCACAAATGACTCTGTTTCCCAGTGTATTTAGCAAATTGTAATCTGGCTTTTTTGTTGATTCTGGCTTGTTGATTTTCCCTGTTGTCACACAAGGAAGCAGTGTGTTTGAGGTTTTCCTTAAAAACTATTCTACAGTTGTGCCTCCAATTAACTGAAATGTTGTCAATTAGCCAATCAAAAACTTCCAAAACCTTGAAACCATCATCTGAGCTTTTTCAGAGGCAGAGAAATCTTTTTGTATGTAAACTTGATTTTCAAGAAAAGTTTTAACAATTTCTCAAAAAATATCTCTCTCATTATTCTGCTATTAAGCATAACATAAACCAATTTGATAATCCTAACATACCTAAAAGAGAAAAAGTTTAGTCACTAACATCTGACTTTTTAAAAAAATGGTTATGTGCCTTTTATGCAGTGTATGTAAACTTCTGGTTTCAACTGTAAATAGTCTGAATTTTCAATCGATATTTCAGCATGTCATAGACCAGATTAACTAGTGAAAAATGTTTTAACTATTAAGCTAATTATAACGACTTTATGAAACCAATGAAAATACAATGTGAATATTCTTTAAAAGCCCTGTAAACTGTAAATAATAAATAATTATTAACATTTATTTGAAGTGCCCATGATATCAATATAACGCATGTTCATTATTAAAGTAAATATTGGATTATTGAAAGTCAGAATTTGTCTAGACTGAGACAACCTTTCAGATGTGACATACAAGCTGCATGCTGTACAACAACAGGAAATATGAATGATATGCAGTTTCCCCTAATAATCCCACCCCTTCACAAAAACAGACATTAAAAAGCAAAGGAAACAGTCATTTCTCATTCTGTCCCTGACACATGATGAATCTGAGAGTGTCTGCTGTTCTTCTTCTGGTTTTTCTCACTAGAGGTAAACAAATGAAACAAGCTTTAATAATAATTATATTTCACACTACATTTTAGCATTTAATAAATAATGAATTTTTTGTGCCCTAAGGAAACTCACTCAAATGCTACGCATGCATTTCTCTGACGGATTCTTGTAATGCAAAAGAGACGACGTGTCCAGAGGGATTCTCCAAATGTTTCAGTACAACAGTGCATGGATCCCTAGGTAAGTCTGTAATGATGTGGAAATCCACTGTAATAATTGACTGTAATAATTGACTGAAATTGGGATTTCTGTGTGGAGTTTGCATGTTTTCCCCGTGCTGGCATGAGTTTCCTCTTGGTGCTCCGGTTTCCCCGACAGTCCAAACACATGCGCTATAGGTGAATTGGATGAACTAAATTGGCTGTAGTGTATGAGTGTGAATGCAAGAGTGTATGGGTGTTTCCCAGTGCTGGGTTGCAGCTAAAAGGGCATCCGCTGCATAATAGCATATGCTGGATAAGTTGGTGCTTCATTCTGCTGTGGCAACCCCTGATAATTAAAGGGACTAAGCTGAAAAGTAAATGAATGAATGTTACAAAAAATATGGGCAATACACTGGTGTCAAGATCACAAGCGATCTAACCAAGAGAGATCGCTAGAAAACATTCACACTCACAGGACTACAAGTCTGCTGGTAAATGGACTACATATTCAGTCATGCAGCACACACACACACCTGCTCCAAGTCTCCTGTGATTAGACTTTCACGGCTGAAGCTGCTCTAGGACTGATTAATGGACTATAAGTACTGCTCAAACACAAACACTGTTGGGGAGTCTTGTTATCTGTTCTAGTGACATCACAAAGCGTTTCCTTTGTCTTGCTTTACTGTGTTTTTGATCCTTGCCTTGTTTATTTGTTTAATCCTGTTTGCTGCCTGCCTTTTGACTACGATTCTGGACTGCCTGTATACATCTGTTTGCCCATGTGTTGAACATTGCTGGCCTGACCTCGCTAATAAACCTGCATGTGGATCCTCACCTCCGTTGTCAGTGTCACTCCCCAGGTTACAGATAGATTCAGCAGACAGATTTGTACAGCCCTTGACAACTGAAATGAGGCTTTGAATGAGAAAGGCTTACCTCTGATTTATATTATGAAATTGTGTGTGCTTCTTTACAGGACCTGTTAAGATAGCTAGCACAACTAAACAGTGTGAACGTGAGTGTGAACCTGGGACTAAAAAACTATCAACAGGAGGCACAGTGACCACCAAGTGCTGTGATAGTGATCTCTGCAATGCTGCAGGTATTTACCTTTATCTTTAATGACTTTAAAATGAGAAAATAAAATAAATAATCACAGACTGAAACAAACACAGGTGACTGTCCATGAGAACTGAGCCAAACGGGGCCGGAGTGGGACTCCTTTTCAGCCCTGGAGTTTCAAGCCTCAGACCTGCCCACCTCAGTTCACGACTGACTATATTAAAATAAGGTCATTTCCAATTCAGTTTCTAATGAGACTATTGCATCTTTTTCAAGAAAACAGCTGTTTTACTTCAAATGTTCAACAACCCTAACAGTATTATATGTCTTAACAATAAAAATGAAAAAAATTAATTAATTACTCATGAGGTTTGAACCTGGGTCGGCGGCTTTGTAACACAACTTGCTGACCACTGGACCACAACAGCTTTTCTCAGTGTAGTGACTCATCTGAGTTACATCATCATTAACCTGCAGGCTGAATCGTGCTCATGAGGCTGCGCAAAAATAGATAAAAAGAGCAGAGCTGCGGCAAAATAATGAACAAAAAGAGTGAGGCTGTGAAAAAAGTGCGACTGCTGAGAGCAACAGAGTCTGGAGCTAGGGACACCGGCCCTCGCGGCCAAAAAACGGCCAATTCTCCCGATTAGCCAATCCGGGCCTGGAGCCAAATATAAAATTTTACTAATAGTATAATAGAATAAGTATAATAATAGACTTGTCTTTCATAATTTTCATAAATAAAAATTTCTAATAAAATAAATTTCTCCTTTTCAAATGGTTGAGTTTGTTATCGCCCATTTATTATAAACAATCAATTTTTTTTTGTGTTTGCCTAATATTGTTTGCATTATTTGATTTGAATGCACATGCAATTTTTATTGAGTGTTATTATTATTATAATTTAATCGTAAACTACTCACTGTCTTTTTCAGATGGGATGTACAAGAGAAGTGTCGTCCTGCTGTTGTCTCCTCTGCTCTTTTACTTTCTGTTTCACTGAGTTCAACTGCAGGAGAAAGAAAACCACATCAAACATTATTGTATCATGATTTGAGTATCAAAAATATGCATTTCAATAAAGAGATATGAATCAAAATGTTGTATTAGTTTTATGACCAGTTCAATCAAGGTACATTATTACATCCAAATCAATCCATCCATCTAAATACAGTCAAGATCGGGCTAGACTGTATATTAACTGCATATTGTGGAGAAAAAGGAATTTATTTTGAGTACTTTTGTATCTTTATTTTGTATTAGATAAAATGTTTAGACTAATAACAGATTAATGAATCTTTTTCTTTTGTATGATTCCATTTATTAACCAAGCATACTTCTTTCTTCTTTCTGTGTTGCATACTTTAGAAGGAACTGCTGACAATAGCGAAATAGCAGAATAAGAATAAATATAGTGCGGGGGCTCTTGCTCCAGACTGCTATCAAATTAAAGAGCTGGATGGGTGTGGAAGTTGTGAATAATTTAAGGTACACTTAACTGTTCAGTTCTGGTATGCAGAGAAGGGTTGCAGAAAGAGGAAGTATGTTTGGGGTACAAGAGCCAAAGGACTGCAAAATGACTGATAAGTGATGTTATACCAAAACTCCACCTGTTAATATCAGTGGTGTATATACAGTATATGTATGCTGGACTCAGTTGTGAACCTCTTGAATGTAATTCTTGTATTGCATTGGTGTAACATAACCTGGAGCTCTGTTATCGAATTATTATTTTGTATCTATTAAATTACTAATATTTTGGCATTGAAGAAAACCCTCTACTGATCTTTTTTTATTGAACACACATTGAATTGGCTTGACATTCCAACAATATACATTTTTACATGCATATACACTGCATAAACATATATAGTTGAAACCAGAAGTTTACATACCCTGTAAAAAAGGCACATATCCATTTAAAAAAAAAAGTCAGATGTTATTGTGACTAAACTTTTTCTCTTTAAGGTAAGTTTGGATTATCACATTTGTTTCTGTTATGCTTATTTTAATAGCAGAATAACGAGAGAGATATTTTTTTGAGAAATTGTTAAAACTTTTCTTGAAAGTCAAGTTTACATACAATAAGATTCTTTTGCTTATGAAAAAGCTCAGATGATGGTGTAATGGTTTTGGAAGTCTCTGATTGGCTAATTGACAACATTTGAGTTAATTGGAGGCACAACTGTAGAATAATATTTAAGGAAAACCTCAAATACACTCCTTCCTTGTGTGACAACATGGAAAATCAACAAGCCAGAATCCACAAAAAAAGCCAGATTACAGTTTGCTAAATTACACTGGGAAAAAGACTAATGCTTGGAGACATGGTCTGATGGAACTAAGACTGAACTGTTTGGCCATAATGACCAGTGTTACATTTGGAGGACAAAGTAGAAAGCTTACAAGCCAAGGAACACCATCCCAACAACAATCCAAGAACATTATGTAGAAATACTGAAGCAACATCTCAAGACGTCAGCCAGGAAATTTGGCCACAAATGGGTCTTCCAAACAGACCATGACCCTAAGCATACTGCCAAGTTAGTTAAAATGTGCTTTAAGGACAACAGAGTGAATGTTTTGGAGTGGCCATCACAAATCCCTGAACTCAATCCTATAGAAAATTTGTGGGCAGAATTGAAAAAGCTTGCGTAAGCAAGACAGCCAACAAATCTGACTCAGTTACAACAAATTCTGTCAGAAATGGGCTCAAATTCCTTCAAACTATTGTAAGAAGCTTGTAGAAGGATACCCAAAACATTTGACCGAAGTTGTACAGTTTAAAAGCAAATAAAAAAAATACCAAAGAAAATGTATGTAAACTTTTGACTGTCTAGAAATTAATAAAAAATTCTCTCATTATTCTTGCATTTAGCAAATTTAAATGATTTAGGTAATCCTAACGGACCTTAAATAGTAAACGTTTAGTATGATTTACCATAAGACATTTAAAAAAATGGTTTTGTTCCTTTTTTTTAGAGCGTATGTAAACTTATGGTTTCAACTGTATATGTATGTAATCATGTATATGTAATCACCCTTCGGTGAACTTTTTATTTTTAAGATATTTTAAAACTAGTTTAGGAAATTATTGGTTGTATTTATACATTAAATGGTTGAAATACTTGCATCTAGCCACAATGATTATAATCCACAGATGCTCATTTCAGAATTGAAGGTGTCAACCTATAAAATGGACATGTTTATATTTTTACTCATTGACACCCGAGAAAGTCAAATTTTCCTCATTCACTCATCAGACCCTGATGCATACAATGCAAAAATGTAGTCTATAGAAAAGAGTCCTTTTCGTGACTGATTTAAACTTTGCATGGTTAAATGAAAACTAAAACTGAGATGATCATAACAATAAATGTGTTGTTCAATGGTCGTTCATGTTAGTAAATATATTAATTAACAAATGCATTGTAAAGTAATGCCAGTAAATTATGTGTATCATTCTGTAGATGTATTGAAAAGGAAAAAATTACTAAAAGTAGTTTTTAAAAAAGTGTGTAGGGGGTAGACCCCTTTAGTCTTAAGAAATATATATATATATATATATATATATATATACATACACACACAAACGCATGCACGCACACACGCACGCACACACACACACACACACACACACACACACAGTTGAAGTCAGAATTATTAGCCCCCCTGAATTATTAGCACCCCTGTTAATTTTTTACCCCCCAATTTCTGTTTAACGGAGAGAAGATTGTTTCAAAACATTTCTAAACATAATAGTTTTAATAATTCATTTCTAGTAACTGATTTATGATGACAGTAAATAATATCTTACTAGATATTTTTTTCAAGACACTTCTATACAGCTTAAAGAGACATTTAAAGGCTTAACGAGGTTAATTAGGGTAACTAGGCAGGTTAGGGTAATTAGGCAAGTTATTGTATAACGATGGTTTGTTCTGTAGACAGTCTGAAAAAAATTGCTTAAAGAGGCAAATAATTTTGTCCTTAATATGGTGTTTAAAAAAATAATAACTGCTTTTATTCTAGCCAAAATAAAACAAATAAGACTTTCTCCAGAAGAAAAAATATTGTCAGACATACTGTGAAAATTTCCTTGCTCTGTTAAACATCGTTTGGGAAATATTATAAAAGAAAAAAAATTAAAGGGGGGCTAATAATTTAGACTTCATCTGTATTTTTGTGTTTCTTCTTTTTTCTTTTTGATATTGTATCAGGCTAGGTCGCTTATGCTTATGCTAAATAAAATGGTACTAAATGAGTCCACAAAAAATCCTTCTCAGGAGACAAAGTAACAACAACAACCTAAATTCTTCTTACTAAGTTAAACCATGCAACAATCCTATCAGTGCACATTTACAGAGGAGACCTACAGAAAGTCTGATGCTCATCTCCGATAACCATACACACTCATTTCACAAGAACACACACATACACCCACATCTACCACAAAACTCCAAGTAAAACATTATTGTCTATCTCAAATGTGCATAATGTGCTCCACAGAAATATTTATTGAGAGTGAATAAATGCATTAAAAGCAGAACTACTTAGGTCTAATTTGATCTGTACAGCACCTCCAGTGCACATTTACATTGTTTAACATATGCAGAGAAGACCTACAGAAAGTATCTGACTCATCTCTACTCTGACAACCACGGAAGCTCTTTTCACAAAAAGCATACACACAGACACACACAGACACACACACACAGACATCTAACCACAAATCACCTTGCTCCATCTTAAACCACAAAGATATGCAGATTTTTACTCTGAGCCTTTGCAAATAATGCCAGGTGTAATTGCCTCATGCTCTCTCTACACACACAGACACACACATCT